GGAAGTACCCGCATTCTTTCCGATTGATTGAGGGTCCGCAAGTTCGACATCGTAGCGCTGCAGGAGGTTTGCTGGAAGGGATCGTCGGTACATACGTATAGGGATGGTTATACTATTCACCAGAGCTGCGGCAGTACACATCGATAGCAGAATGTGCAAGTTGAGGATCAAAGGCCGTTTCTTCAATGTCAGCATAATCAACGTGCACAGCCCTCACTTAGCAAGTGACGGTGACGATAAAGATGCTTTTTACGCCCAGCTGGAACGGGAATGCGACAGCTACCCAAGCCATGACGTCAAAATCGTCATCGGAGATCTTAACGCTCAGGTCGGCCAGGAGGAGGAATTCAGACCCGTTATAGGAAAGTTCAGCGCTCACCAGCTAACGAACGCCAACGGCCTTAGACTCATCGACATACGTAGTACCTACTTCCAGCATAGCCTCCCATATTGGTACACCTGGAGATCACCACAGCAGACAGAATCGCAAATCTACCACGTTTTGATCGACGGAAGGCACTTCTCGGACATTATCGACGTCAGGACCTATCGCGGTGCAAATCGACGCCCGCCACGGTACAATCTGGAGCGACTGAAGTTGCACGAAGTCGCAACTGAGTACGTGCAATGCCTCGACGCAGCGTTGCCGGATGAGGGAGAGCTCACCGAAGCACCTATTGAGGACTGCTGGAGCAACGTGAAAGGAGCCATTAACAGCGCTGCTGAAGGCACCGGTGGGTTCGTGGAGCGGAATCGACGGAACGATTGGTTCGACGAAGAGTGTCAGACGGTTTTGGACGAGAAGAACGCATCGCGAGCGGCAATGCTGCAGCAAGGAACCCGTCATAATGTGAAGCGATATAAACAGAAGCGAAGACAGCAAACCCATCTTTTCCGGGATAAGAAGCGCCGCCTGGAAGAGCTGAAGTGCGAAGAAATGGGGCAGCTGTATCGTTCTCAAGAAACACGCAAGTTCTACAAGAAACTCAACGCATCCCGCCGAGGCTTTGTGTCGCGAGCCGAAATGTGTCGGGATAAGGAAGGGGGTATCTTAACGGACGAACGTGAGGTGATTGAAAAGTGGAAGCAGCACTACGATGAACATCTGAACGGCGCAGAGGCGGAGGACCAAGGAGGCAGGAGGAATGGCTTCGTCGGTACAGCGGATGAGGGGGACATGCCAGCTCCCACGATAGGTGAAGTTAAGGATGCTATCCGACAGCTTAAGAACAACAAAGCAGCTGGGAAAGATGGTATCGAGCGATCACTATTCTTAACGCGGCCTACAAAGTGCTTTTCCAGATCATCTTTCGCCGTTTATCACCGCTAGCAAGCAGATTTGTGGGAAGTTATCAAGCCGGGTTTGTGGACGGGCGTTCGACAGCGGACTAAATCTTTACGTTGCAGCAGATCCTCCAAAAGTGTCGTGAACATCAAGTCCCTATGCACCACCTATTCATAGATTTCAGGGCCGCTTATGATACGATTGACCGTGAAGAGCTATGGAAGATTATGGACGAGAACGGTTTTCCCGGGAAGCTGACCAGACTGATTACGATGCATGGTGTACAGTGCTGCGAGAAGGTATGCGTTATCGGACTCGTTTGAAACTCGCAAAGGACTTCGACAAGGCGATGGTCTTTCCTGTCTCCTGTTCAACATTGCGCTAGAAGGTGTTATGAAACGTGCGGGCTTTAACATGCGGGGCACGATCTTCAATAAGTCCAGCCAGTTCATCTGCTTCGCTGACGACGTGGACGTTTTCGGATGAACATTTCAGGCCGTGGCGAAGCAGTACACCAGGCTGAAACGTGAAGCAGAGAAGGTTGGATTAAAGGTGAATACATCGAAGACAAAGTATCTGTTAGCTGGAGGAACCGAGCGGGATAGGGCTCGCATAGGCAGAAGCGTGACAATCGACGGAGATGAATTCGAGGTGGTGGATGAATTTGTGTACCTCGGATCATTGGTGACGTCGGATAACAACTGCAGCAGAGAAATTCGTCGGCGTATTATTGCCGGAAGTCGTGCTTACTACGGACTCCACAAGACCCTGAGGTGGGGTAAACTTCACCTGCGTACTAACTGTACCATGTACAAGACACTGATAAGATCGGTAGTTCTCTACGGACACGAGACGTCAACGATGCTCGAGGAGGACCTGCAAGCACTGGGTGTTTTCGAACGACGAGTGTTTAGGACCATCTTTGGCGGGGTATGTGAGAACGGTGTATGGAGGCGAAGGATGAACCACGAGCTGGCGCAACTCTATGGCGAACCATGTTGCGAAAACTGGACGGGTACGATGGGCGGGACACGTTTTAAGAATGCCGGACAGCAATCCCGCAAAACTGGTGTTTGCCTCGAATCCGGCCGGAACAAGACGAAGAGGAGCACAGCGAGCAAGGTGGTAAGACCAAGTGGAGCAGGGTCTTGGAAGTATGGGACGGATTTTTCTCAGACTTAACATTTTCGAAACATTTTGAAGATTTTAGACTTGGAGCAATTCTAGAGATTTAGATCTTAGCTAGTTTTTCAAGACTCCGGTCAAAGGGAAATAATTTTACTTCTGTCAATTGAATTTAAAATTTAAGAGAAAGAAAGTCGGAAGAAACTTTCTAGAGAAGTGTTAAGAAATTTCCGGGGAAGTTGAAAAAATCTCCCTATAGTAGTCTGGAGAACATTTCTGAAAAATCTGGAAAGCATTTGCGGGGGACGCCAGAAAGACTACTTGGCAGATTCGGCATAAAGTACCAGAGCACCCAACCGGGAAATGTAAGATTCTATAACATATTTGCATGAAAAGTATGCATAATTTGCAATGTTTGACCGTATAAACAGAATCTGTAATGTGGCCGGCGGAAGGTTTTTTAAATAATTTTGTAATTTTTATGTAAGCCTAGCTTTAGCTTTATGACGTAAGAGAAATTATTTTTGCGTGTAGAAACTTTTGAGAGACGTCGAAAGAACTTCTAGGAAAGGCAGAAGACAGTTCCAAAGGAAACAAAAAGGACCTCGGGCGAAATCTCCAGTAGAAGTCTGGAACAAAATTCCGGGGCAAGGCTGAAGGAAGAAGATACTTTTCGGATAACTTATTAGAAGCTTTAGAGAGAATTTAGAAGAAGTTTATAAGGAAAAATTCTGACGAAATTGAACGACGTGTTTCCGGAAGCAGTCAGGTAAAACTTCTAGGTGAAGTCGGAAGAATCTTCAGACGAAGGATGTCAGACATGGAAATGGTCACCCCAAGACAAAATAACCAAGGAACAAAATTACCAATTTTTACGAAATTCTGAGAACCACTACATCGTTTTGCTATGGCATGGCTGTAGAAGGTTATTATTTACGAAAAATGTGCGAAATTGGCTGTCAGGAATTCTGTACGAAATAACATGGTTCCATGGCCGCAACAACACAACAGCTCGAGAAGACAACCCACCACACGGGCGGCCATTCACCACCTCACAAATTCAAATCACTCGCTAGACACATAAAATAGCATTTGCCAACACCCGGTGGAAAATGGGAAATTGAAAGAATGATTCTCAACCCACCGTGCCCAAGCCTGTTGATGCTGGCTGGCTCTTGCCACTGCAATGGCGCAACTGCACATCGAGTTCCACACGTCTCACGTGATGTGCATTTGGAATTTTCGCGCGACCAAGTCCTCCTCCCGCAAGTGGGTGGGTGGTGCTCACTACGTGGATTGTAACATCATGCTCCTACTCATAGCCGTAGTAGGTTGAAGGAGACCTACTAAAAGTCAGACTGTTGCGCTGTCGCCGCGACAACAATGTTTACGACTCTGACGACGACGGCTTAAAACGGAATTTGCGCGTTCTTATTTTCTGTTTTCCGTTTTGTAGGTGCTCTTGTTTGTTGCAACCAGCAATAACATCATTGCACATGTGAGTGTACGTCAGCTATGTCTATGTGATGTTTTTTTGTCCATTCAGAGCACAGAACCATTTGCACTTTTCATTCGACGGTGACGTTTTTCATGAATGATCTTCAGGAAATCCGTAACTTCCTACATGGGAAGTAATTTTTCGTTCATTTTCCCTCAAGATACGATTTATGCTAAATCCTGGCCTTGGATCCACTGATGAGTGTCAAAAGTCATTTGGAGGTCACTCGATCGACTTGGTAACGATTCGCGCCAAAGAAGTGTCTACGTGTCTACGTCGTCGTTGACGTCTAGCGGCCACCGTAGTGCGTCGTTTAACTTTAGCGCCAAGAACGAAAACATAACTCTTTCCCTCATTTCCAAACCAAAAATAGATCTCACTCTTTTTTTTTTGCTGTTTCATCATCCAACATGAATTGCCGTCAGATTTGTGTTTGCCTTCAACGTGTTGATTAGAGCTATTTCACCTCATACCGTTGGGTTTTAGAAAAGTTTCACGAGTCCATATCCTTTTCGCTTCAACTATTTCCAACTCGTGTTTTCCATTCCTAATCTTATTTAAAATTGATTTTCTTCATTTTGATACCCTGTACAACACCTTGGTGTGTCAAATTCCAGATTTTCAACTTTTGAATCAATTTGGAAAACGTGAGAAAACTGTGTCTCTCGCAGTCTGAATGCGCCAAATTGGCCACACAGGGACGAAAACGAAAACCAAAGGAAAAGGCTCAATATCTTGGCTCCGCCATCGACGAAATGTCACGTTCGGGGCACACAGGAGATCCACTCCATACACACTAAACAGATATTTATTTCCCAGCTTGGAGGGAAATCTAAACTGATAAAAGACCTCCGAAAAAAAAAAAGAAACTAAACCGAAAAGCAAAAAAATATAACTGAATGTGTGTGTAAGTTAAACATTTGCTTTTTTTTTTGTTTCGTCATTCTTTTTAGTACGCGTTTGTATCTTTCTCTTGCTCAATTTTTATTTTGATTGCCCGTTTTTATTTTCGAGTCGGTGGTTTGAAATTGGCTCTACATTTAGGAAACTAAAAAAAAAGATGAGTAAAACTGGAATGAGAGGTGAACTTACCCGAACTGGCTCGGTAGCACAGGATATCCTGTCCGGAGGCCTGTCGCTGTGAAGGGGAATCCTGGAAAGTGAAAAAAAAACAGAAATAAGAAAATCAGGAACGTGCTGCAGAGACAATGTCTGTGGATGGGCGAAAATGAAAAGTACGAAGTTTTGAACCATTGGAAGAAAGTGTGAGAAAAGCGAATCGATAGGCACCACCGTCGTCGGGTATCGATATCGTTCGGGCGGAGGGCGTGAGCGCGTTCCCTTTTAGGGACCGGACGACGATCGGCCTGTCATCGATGACATGATGTTTAAATGGGTTTCTTTCGCATAAAAAAACGGCACTGTACTGATACTTGCTGCGATGGGTACTGTGTCGCCGGTAGGAATGGGGGTTATGACACTTGATAAGCAATGCGAAATAGGGCGGAAGCTTGAAAGGTGACACTTGCGTCTGGGAATAACGGGAACACGGGAATACGGGGTAACAGAAATGGAGGATCGAATGTTCAAAGACGGAAACATTAAACTGAATGAAGAATTGTTTGTTGAGTTTCCTGTAATCCTCTTGAAATTGAAATTTCCCTGGGGCGCCTTTGAAGGAGTCTAATGTTTAAATTTTCGAACGCAAGTTGTCATCCTGTGGGCCACCGATAAGCCGTAAGTGTGAAGCGACCGGTGATATATCCTATTATGTGGGAGTTGGGGGAAACGATCTTTTTGAGTTGACTATAATGTTAACAACTCTATTGGCACTTAAAGTTAGCCCCCGTGAGGAATAGATCAACTATTAACGTGATGATGATGTCATTTTTTTTTCACGGGGCAACCTATAATGTTTTTATTTTACAAATGGAGCATTTACAAATTCTGGCTGCTGCTACGATGGTAGAAAAGTTAATATCTATGTACACAACTGAAAATCTTATAAAAATTAGATTGTTTATATTATATGTCTATTGAATGACCCTTGAGTTTTCTACTAAAGTACCAATAACCAGATTGTATTAAAATAATTTGTTCGAAAAACCAATGCATTTCAAGATTGCACTCGAAATCATCATCACTTTCATAGCTTTTCTATTCTCCAATTACAGGGCTGGTAGCGATCACTGCTGTCAAAAATAGTGATTTTAGTGATCATGTTGAAGAAATAAGTGACGAAATAATGACTTATAGTTGTAAAAAATAGTGACTAAAAATTGACCTAAGAGAAGAAAAGTAGTCGTTAGGATTTTTTTCCCTTGATTTGTTTTCCGTCGATCTTGTTTTCCGTGCTGAGCACCAATGCTGCCGACGCCAGGGAGACAGCTTCCACACCTGGACCCTACTTATCGACCCATCAACTCATGAACCGGGGACCAACGGCTTTACTCCCCCGCCCGTGATCAGAGATGTTATGCCTCAGAACATCCCGGCAGCGCCGACTGGGATTGAACCCAGCCATGCTGGGGTGAGAGGTAATCACGCATACCACGCATACGGCGCCGCTAGTCGTTATGATGGCACACCAAATAAATGTTTGATGTTTAGACATATTCTATTAACATAAAAACTCATATACACTTATGTACGATATGATGCTTTAAACCGAAAGATTCAATAGAAAGTTGATGTCTAAACCCACGCTATTAGCCAGTGTGCCTACTAACTGCAAAAACCTGGAAAACCGAGAATCCCAATGAAATTTTTTTTCTTTAAATACCTGGAAGTCTAAGAGAATTTAATAATTTTCTTACTAAGGATATTTTAAAGATAATAATGAATTTTAAAATACAAACATTTAATGTTTCTCGTTATTTTCATTCACACTTTGAACTTTATAAATCCACAGTGGTTTAATCTTCAGTAACAAATAAATAAATAAAAAACAAAGGCATGAAATGTTTTTTTTTTTTTACTTTTGGAACATGTATATTTCCTAGAAATTTTAAATTTGAACTAGCTCTGGATTTAAAGGCTATAATACTTCAAAAATTTTTTAGGAATCTGGAGTAAAATTCCATGCACAGTTTTATTATAATGTTATTATAATTTCTAAGGACCTCATTCCAAGGGAGTTCTGGGGAAAAAATCTTTCAGAAAAACATCAAATGCAATCTGCTTTCAAGGTAGTTAGATTTCATGTGAAGTTTTGAGTATAATTTCCAGAAACCCTGAATTGAATTAAAAGTTAATTTTAATGAAAACTCTAAGGAATTTCTGAGAAAATTCCAGGGTATTCTGAGGATAATTTTATAAAGTCTGTGGGAGAAAACGTATCCGGAACATAAGCCCTTGGACTTTTTTTTGAAAATACTAAAAGGAGGATTACAATTGAATCTGAGAATAACTCCAGGACATCTTCAAAGGAATTCAGAAAATAAATTCAGGAGAGTTTGTCAAACTAATTATGAGAAGAAATCAAAGGAATTTTTTTGGAGAAATACCAATGAATTCTTAGGACACTTGCAATGTGAGTAGAATTCCAAGGGAAGGAGTGAGATTCAAAAGGAAATTTGAAATGAACTAATTAAAATCCGGAGAATCTTTCCAAAGAGATTCTTACTGTGAAGAATCTCAAGGTAATTCCGAGGAAAATTAAAAGAAAATTGAATTTGGGGACAGCTTATGAGGAATATTTCAATAGAAATCTCCGTTGAATATGGAATGAACAATTCTGAGATCTTCAGAACTACTTGAAAGTTCCCAATTTTTTCCTGAATTTAAACTGCCTTGAAGTTCTTTTGTAGTTTGATAAACTAGCCTGATTCTCACAATACTTCTCATCAAATTCTTAAACTTCCCTGAATTTTATAGGACTTCCTGAAGTTTCCTCAATTTTTCTAACGATCATTGATCTCCTCAAAAGGTTTAACAATTCGCTGAAATTCTCTTAACTGCTTTAAAATTGATGTGACTTCTCTAACGTTAACGGAACTGCTCTGAGGTTCTCTGTTCTTATCTGGAATTCTTAAAACTTCTCTAAAGCTTTTGCAGTTCTCAGGAAGCATGTTGTACTGCGCTGAATTTAATTGAACCGTCCTAAAAATGTTAAAGCTTTAGGGAACTTCTGAACTTATGCGAAGGCCTCAATTTACTTTTTGACGTCTCTGAACTGCCCATAATCGCAAGTCAGTCCCATCTGTAAAAAACTGGAAATGAGCAAACGGCGTTCAAAGATATTACAAGTTTTCTGATTTTACACTTATTTTGGAGGAATAAATTTAAAAATAAACGTACAATGTGATAGAATGCATCTATGTTTACCAAACAATATTGGAAAAATATCGTGAAATTTCTATTTTATCGCCAAAATCTGAGTGGGACTGACTTGCGAATACATTTAACGCCAATGAGAAAAATAACCGCAAGTCAGTCACAATGACGATGCTGCATTAGTTTAGCACAGTATTGGACAGTAGAAAGATACCATGGTCCCATAGAACGTTATTGAATGTTTCTGGATTTGTTCCGTTGGTTCCAGAGCAATGGCCAGAACATATTCCGGTGAGTATGGGTCTTCATCAGACCAGAGCTTTTCATAAACGTGCCAAACCCACCATGCGATAAATCAATTCACATGAGAATTCAAAAATAAGATCAATCAAGATCAATGATGAGTGACCAGCACAATGTTGGCCACACCCGGACATGTTACGGGCATGTTCCAGATACTCTAGGGGAAGTGGATAAATCTGTCTTGAGACAAATCTCATGATGCGATGTGTTGTCTAACATTCCTAACATATTTTTTTTTCTAATGAGACAGACTTGCGGTTACTTTTCGCTGTGGAATAATTTGACTTGGTATTGTTTTTCATTTTTCTTGAACAAACCACCTTTTTTCAATAGCACATCTCAAAAAACATAGAAAGATAAAATAAATAATAACTCAAAATTGATCAAAATGCAGATGGGACTGACTTGCGATTACCGACAGTTAAGTTATATGATAATATGGGAATTGCTTTAAATTTCCCAATAATTTTCTGAAACTAATGGAACCTCCTCCTGAAATTCCTCAAATCTTCGGAGTTAACTAAACTTCTTTCAAATGCTCTCGCATTTTGTTAATGTTCATAAAAAATTCCTGAATATCGTGGATCTCCCCTTAAGCTCCATAGATTTCTATGAAGTTCTCGAAATATTTCTGAAGACCACTGTCCTTCAGTAAAATTTTCGTAGTTTTTCTAAATTTCTGGAACTTTTGCGCTCCTGCAATTTTCATGGAATTAGAACGAAATAATTAATATAGTTCTATGATCTTCACTGAAGTTCTCAAGATTTTTCTGAAGTTCATGAAACTTCCCTTAAATTATAGACAGTCCTTATGCACCGTGGGACTCTTATGCATATAACGGGAGTATAAACGCTCACTAATTTTCCCAGAACTTATCCATGCTTACCTGAAGTTCTTCAAATTTGTTTTAAAATCCGGCAAATTTTCTAATATGCATTCATAATTCCCTGACGCTTCTGTCGTTTTCGGATCAATCATAGAATTCTCGGAATACCCCATAATTCCACGGAACTCCTTGTAAGTCGCTGCAAATTTGCTTTAGTTAATGGGATTATTCTGAAGCTATCTGATCGTCGTACTCGGAACTTCGCTGAAGATCATGAAATTATCTCCAAATATCTAAATTTATTAGAAGTTCTCTGGAATTTATTGAAAATATCGCTTCTTGCTAAAAGTTCTAGCATTTGTTTTAATTAATGTAACTTTGTTGATGTTCTCTAATCAACTTGAGATCTCCATGATATAACACGCTTAAAATACTCACACGTTTTCCGGATGTTCATATAATTTTTATCACGTTCCAGAAATTCTCTCGGAGCTTTGCCGAAGTTTCCGGAAATTCCCTGAGTTTCTCGAAACTTCTTTAAGGTTTCTACATTTTTTTTGAAATTATTTGAATTACCCTTTGATTCTCTGATCTCTTTGATGTTCTCTAAGCTTCTCTAAAGCTCTAAATTCTATTGAAAATCTCAGTTCTGCTCGGAAATAAATGGAATTCCAGGAAACACCTTTAAATTTCCCTAAAAACAATTCATAAATTCTCTGAAGGTCTCTGTACTTCCCTGAAATTCTCG